AAATCAAATAAAATATAATTTTAAGAACTTTAACAAATGAATTAGGGTCACGGCCACGTCCCCATGCTTGAAATTGAAAATCAGTTATCAGGCGTTGAATTAGTTTAGTATTTTTGGAAAATAAATTAAGGCTTTGTCGGCGGCATCACATGTCTCCAGCACATTCCCACGTCTTCAATGCTGAAACACGTGTCGAGTTGGCGGTGAGTGGACGGTGTCTCTATCCGGTCCCACAGAATTCAGAAATACAGCCGACGGCACACGGTAAAACTACTCCGTATAAAAATTTCCAGCGGTTGTCTTTTCCTTAGAAACCCGGCAGCGGCAGGGCGAAACAGGATGTGGATCCACGTGGGTGATGGCAGGAATTTTAATGTTGGAGGTGTCGTTCGTACAGGATATCACGGGTTTATTTCGGCGTGTACCAACACGTGTTGCCTGTCTTCACGAATTTTATTGGACTTGGGTTTGTATTTTGAAACCTAAACCCTGTCGAAAGTGGATCTCTAAATTTGGGCCCCAAGATATCGAGCTGGACCATAGAATTTCTTTCCCGGTTTTTCATGCCTAAACCTAAACATTTAAAATCCATCATCCAAGCCCATATCTCAACAACCCATAGAAAAGATTCAAGAACATAAAATCCTTTTTACTTCAGTTAAATGAACTAGAATTTTTCAAAGGTTAAAGGTGCAAGGCTATTAAAAAACTCAATTTTATATTATTATTATTATTATTATTTTAACACTAAAAAATTTTAAGTTAAATTAGTATTTGTTTTTTGAGAAAATCAAACTCATAATCAACGTTCACTTCACTTGTTATCCAATAAACAACGTGACTACCACTGGACATTCGAGAGATTGCTATTATTATTATTAGTATTTAGTGTCAAAATTTTATATAAATATAACGCTTATATAATTATATTTTTTTTTTCTATATGAAATTGAGGTGCTACAGACTAAAAGATTTAAAAGTACAATTTTACCTTCAAAGCCCATCTAATAATATTATTGGTTAATGAGATGATTAGTGATTCTGCCAACAATGCATTGAGTAGCTCAGCTGCATCCTGATTGCATGTGTTGATCATGGGTTGTTAGGGGCACATTATTTTCGTGTCTAACCTGTTCTTCACATAAGATCTACACATACGTATTACTAAAATCAACAGTTGTTGTATTTAAATTTTAGTTGAGTGTAGATCTTTTTTGTTGAACTCCGAAGGGATAAAGAAATTCAAAAGAAACGTTTTGCCTCTTCCCGCACTTCCTAAATGATCACTACAATTTTATTTTATTTTTTCTCCGCCATGGTTCTCATCAATAGAAAGCACTTCATTTCCCAAGAAACAGAGTTTTACTCAACCATGGAATCGATGAAGGCTCTAAAAGCAATCCTTTTTTCCTTCACCACATTGTTGGTGGCAACTGTTGATGCCATCTCGCCCCATCAATTCTATGACTGGACTGTTTCATACTCCCGACGAGCCCCTCTGGGCGTTGATAAGCAGGTTTTATCTAGTTCTTTTAGTTTTGGTTCAATGGAAATTTCATTTTTTTTTATTACTAAGTGTTTGTTGTGAGGTCCAGGTGATAGTGATAAACGACATGTTTCCAGGGCCACTTCTAAATGCATCCACAGATGATGTTCTCACCATTCATATTCATAACAACTTGACAGATCCCTTTCTCTTGACATGGTTTGTTCAAAAATCTATAAACAAACCCATAAATCAAGTTCTGTTCTTTTTTCTGAACTTTTAATGTATAATGTTGTTTTGTTCGTTAAGGAATGGGATTCAGATGAGGAAGAATTCATGGCAAGATGGGGTGCAAGGGACCAACTGTCCCATAATGCCTGGACAAAACTGGACATACAGATTCCAGGTTAAGGATCAGATTGGGAGCTTCTTTTATTTCCCTTCACTTCTGCTGCAAAAGGCAGCTGGGGGTTATGGTGCCATTCGTGTGAATAATCGAGTTGCCATCCCCATTCCATTTCCTCAGCCCTATAAAGAGTATGATGTCTTGATTGGAGATTGGTACAATGCAGAATATAGAGTAAGTAAATAGGCCTTTTGTTCCCTTTAAAAGGAATTTACAGTTTGTTGTGTGCAAATATGTAATTGAGAGAAATGTTGTTTTATGCAGGACTTGAGGGCTTTACTTGATGAAGGGATCACCCTTCCCATGCTAGATGGAATTCTTATCAATGGGATGGGACCTAATCAGGCAACTTTTGATTTTGAACCAGGTGAAATTCTTTAATTTGATTAAGACTGCTTATCTTATTACTCCTATTAATTATGTATTGATATCCTTGTTAACATCAAGTATGTTGTTGATTTGGCTGCTTAATTCTGTGTTGAAGGGGCTACATACAGGCTAAGGATTTCAAATGTGGGGTTGAAAACGTGTTTGAATTTCAGGATTCAGGATCACCTAATGCTTTTGGTTGAAACTGAAGGTTCTTATACCATTCAACAATACTACAAGAGTCTGGATATTCATGTTGGACAATCCTACTCCGTTCTGGTCACAGCCAAGAACCAAGCTGATGCGAAACGCTACTACATGGTTGCTAGTTCTCGTTTCACTCCTTACGAACTCTATGGCACTGGTATTATTCGGTATCCTTGTTCTAAAGGAGATCCATCTATTCTTCTTCCTTCTGGACCACTTCCTTTTGATTATGCCTACTCTATGGACCAGGCTCGTTCCATAAGGTAATACATATCCAAGAATTCACCCATCTTAAAGCACATCACTTAGACTTTGATCTTTGTTTTTATGTTTTGAACAGGTGGGACATAGCAGTAGCAGCTGCAAGGCCAAATCCCCAAGGTTCCTATCACTATGGCAGCATCAACATATCTCGGACACTCATACTAGAGAATGATGTGATGTACTCCAGACACAAGACTAGGTTCACAACAAATGGAATCTCATTTGTGCATTCAGATACTCCATTAAAATTGGCTGACTATTTCCAAATCAAAGACGTATACAAGTTGAATGTGATTCCAGACAAGCCAAATCACAGATTTCCATCATGTGGCACAGCTGTTGTCAATACCCTTTACAGAGATTTCTACCACATCGTCTTCCAAAATCCTAAGGGTGATGTACAAACATGGCATCTTGATGGCTACAACTTTTTTGTTGTTGGGTAAGGCTTTTTCCATCAATCAATCTCCAAATGCAAAAGTGTTTCCATCATAAAAATTGTTGTTGGAATTTTGAGTTTCTCTTTAACAATGAAATTTCTACATTTGCAGCATGGAGTGGGGGAAATGGGATGAGGGGAAAATGGCTGATTATAACATGAATGATGCTGTTTCTCGTTCCACAGTTCAGGTTTTTGTGATTAAAATATAATTCCTCCTGAACTTCGTACTTAACAAACTGTAATCATTCTACTTATTTACTATTCCACTGATGGGAGAACAGGTATATCCATTCTCATGGACAGCAATTTTGGTGAGTCTAGACAATCAAGGGATGTGGAACCTAAGATCACAGGATGCTGAAAAATGGTACCTCGGACAAGAACTTTACCTCAGAGTCATTGGAGTTGGGGAGGAGGATCCATCGAGAATCCCCAGGAGGGATGAATATCCAATTCCAAAGAACGTAATCAAATGTGGAATTGCGGCATATCACTAAATTTTCTCCAGGAAATCAAAGTCAGAAATTGGTTGGAAGAACATGTTTTAGAGGCTAAGGCCAATCTGTAGAAATATTATCATTTTTATTTTTTTTTGGAATGAATTAGTTAGAATATCTCTAATCAATTTATAGAATGAAATACCATTAAAGATCAAATTAAGCCAAAGAATTTGATATAGATTTTTCCCGCAAGCTTCTTTATGTTGTTATGTATAAGGTTTTCCGCACGATCCCACATCAGCTGAGGAGAGATTTATGGGATGACGTGCGTGATTTAAAGGACTTGAGGGAGCCTGTAATGGGTATGATCCTTCAGGCAGTAACGGGGAAATGAGGAGTGGTCAAATCTCGCTAGGGTTGCGAGAGGGGTGTCCGCCCCACCGCCTGGTTACGACAAACTGGGCATCCTCCATCTTTACCATCTGATCCCTATCTTGAAGGAAAAAACTACCGTTAATTATAGTCTTTACAATTTCATTCATTAATCTCTAAGCTGCATAATTTATCAGATGAGGGTAAAATGGCTGGGTGAAATGGCTGATTAAAAGCCAGAGATGGGGGCTGTGACTCTGAGGGGTTTTGCAGGTGTAGGTTTCTGGCCAACAACCGGTGATGGCAGCCGCCGTGCAGGGTGGCGTGGGAGTGTTGTTTTGAAGGGGGAAACAGAGGTAGTGAGCAAGAATATAAAGAGCAGACAGGGTTTGTAGGTATTGAAGATCTTCATTGCTGTGATGAGGAACAGAGGATTTTGTGAGCTTCTTAATGCCTGATTTGAAGTTTTATATAGAATTCACGGTGGAGAAGTTGAGAGGAATGCAGTAGGACTATCCAATCTCAAAGAACAAAGAAACTTTTTGAGTAATTTCAACATCACTTATATTCTAACATAATTAACACCGCATAGAAAGGTTATATACAATATAATAGGAGAGGGAAACAAAGAGGGATCAAAGAAAATGCTCTCAGGATTTGGAATCCAAACCATCCAACATATCTAACAAGTCAGTTTCTTGATGATCCAGACTCATTCTTGGTTTCAGACCCCTTTCGGGAGAGGTCCGAGTACTCATGCTCAATGCCCAAACTCTATTCTTTTTCTTATTGCCAAAAGGGAATTCCTGACTTTTGCTTATTCCTGGATTCAATCTCCTCCCACTCAGCTTGTCTAAAAGATTTCTGTCTTCTTGAGAAAGTTCGATTCTGTGTGTTTTACTGCCACGGTTTAAGGGTACTAATTGGTTCATCTTAGCTTGGAAGATGATGCCTTTATTATTTGGAGATCGAGCAGGCTGAGGCTTGAAACCATGATCTCTCTGTCGTATTATGCTGATCAAATGGTGAAGCAGTGTCACCAATTCAAGGATGTATACATCTGTCTTCTGTTTATCAGCATGATAGAGTGTCTGGAGGCGGGTTGGGTTATTGTTTGTTGCCGCATTCTGCTCGTATTCAGTGCTGCCAAGCAAAAAGGATACCACAAGACGTTATTGTGATGTGATATCAAAGGCATCAAAAGCACAGATATGAGTATAAAGTGAAGCGTCCACTGACCTATTGTTTGCCCATTCTCCAACCCATCCAAAACCCTGATGTGCTCTGTAGCCAGTTGCAGAAGGAAGAAGAAGCAAATGTCAATGACATGGTAATAAAAACTATCTGGAGACAAGGGAAATTTATGTTTTTTCTTCTCTCAATTCATTTTGGCAAAATGCAATGAATGCATCAATCTAACCTACCTTATTGTGTTTGTGGCAATTGGAAAGAGCCACCGCAGTGTTTTCTCCATCTCATCTTTGATCTTGGAAATTGAAAGCTGCATTAAAGCAGAACGTGAAAATCTTAATAAACAGTTGTAATGATAAAGGTGCAGAAAACACGAAACAAAGTCAAGTCAAATGAAGTGGGAAGGACATATATGAAACACGCAAGAAAGTGACATGACATTAAGTTTCACATTTTAGCATGAACCATACTTTTTCCTTGGCATCAATAGACAGCAATCGAGACCGTAAAGCTTTCTTAACATTGGTTGGTAACCCATGATATAACGTGTCTCTCATATTAGGTCGGAAGAAGGTCGGTCGAGATGCCTGAAACACATTTTTCAACTTAATTCAATGTGGCAGCACTATTATAACGAAATAAACATGTGATTGCCTAATAGGAAAGCGTAGGGGGAAAATAGAAGACCAAGACTTACAATATTATCTATCTGACTAATTACATTAGCATAGTGTAATGCAAGCCCAGCAACACCTAGTCTTTGAGGACCCTCACTGGGTGTTTTTTTGGTTGATGTCACACCTGCTAGAAATCAAGAACTTGCATAAGATGGCAGGACTAGTCATCTAAAAAGCATTTTTTGAAGCGAGAAACTATTTAAGCATATCCTTGCTCCAGAAGTTGAGTTGATGCTATTACCTCCAAAGGCTTCAGATATTGCTTGCTGCATGTATGTAACCATATAAACAAGCTTCTCAACAATCTGCAATGGAATAAATTCAATTAGGAAAATTTTTTCAAGTTGCTGCTCACTCTTAAAAGAGTCGTGATTTATCCCTTCAAATTGACAAATATCATGGGAATGGTTCATAGTTACATACCTCCTCCAATGTTCTAGACCAAAGAGATTTCTTTTTCAAGCTCTTTACAAGCTTTCTCTGTTGTTTAAGTTCACTATGTAAAATCATGAGACTCTCTCCTACATTTCAAAGAAAAATGTCAACTGTCAGTAAAATAATTCCAATGCCAGGGTTAGCAAGTCCCTATGAGTTATGAGAGACATAAAATAATTAAAACACTAATGGACATATTGCAGCAAGCTGTGAAAAAGGAAAATCAATGATCAGGCCTAACCTTTTGGGAGATTTAACGATGCTACTTCCTCAAGTTTTCGCTTATAATCTTGCTCGAATCTGTCCAAAGCATTCAATTCATGATACAATTCCTACAAATGTGACATATGTCAGCTTCGGAAGTAGAGGATGTAGACAAAAAGTGATGAAAGAAACAAAGCTTGATTGAAGAATATGGAGACATTCATATTCATATATGATTGACATCTATACTGTATTGAGCTTTGAACTTACAGAGGTAAGATGAGCCAAAGTAGCCAACCCTTGCATTGTCATTTCTGCCTCTTGTTTACGTTTATTAACTGAGTTATCCATATTCAATCTGATTATAAGCATACAGAGAAACATATTTCACTGTGAGAAAACATCAGCAACAAAACCAAAATTGTGCCTAATAAAAGTCTACCTTACTTTGAAAAGTATCGACCAAGGTTGTGCCAGTGTGGGTCTTTACATAGATCTCCAAACCTAGTTACTTCTCGTGAAAAAACATCCAATTCATCCCTACAAATGGGCAGAAAAAGACTGATTAAAACGATAGCAATGTGGAAGTATGGGCGCCCTGCACAACAATACCCATTAAGGCACAAAGATAAAGCAACTCTTCTCTAAGAAGCAGCCTACCTCTTGTCAGCTGCAGTGATGCTTAGCAACTCTTTAATATCTCTAGAGACCAACTTCTGCACCCCTTCAGAATAGAATACATCTTTTTTCACGAAGTTGATATTTTCTTCTGAAAGTGATTGCAGCAAATGTACACCTTTGGCTATTGTATTAGCCACTTCAAATGCCAATATAGATATTCTTTTCCCCCTGGAAATCACACCAGCAACAAAGCTATGACCAGCATTCAAATTTGACACGCTACTTCCAAGCGTGTCTAGAACATCAACCGCCCTCTCTAGGCCAACAATGCCAGCTCTTCCAAGAAATGAGCTCCTCTCAGAATTCTACAAAAATGAAAATAGAACATAATAAATAAAAAAAACCTTACACAACTTGACCTGTAAAGCCAACGGATCTCAATTTTCTTTATCAGAACCATAAGTTCAAATAATGCACATGAATTTTGATTTTCTACCATCAATGACATTTCACCATATTCTTCTGTCAATAAGCTGCTTTTCTAGTCCTCTTCCTAATTTCGTCGGGTGCATGATTACTTAGTACTTACATAATATATGTTAATAAAAACCCCATGGAACTACCAACAACTTATATCAGACTAAAAATACCTTGTTTGCGGCTGTCCTGGCCGGCGTTGAAGGCTTCAATTCACGGGAAAATGATGGAAGAAATCTGGAATTATTCCTTTGCTTCCACTTATCAAAGCCATCCGAATTGGCATTTGAATTAGAATTTGTTTTCTGCTTACCAAGGCTCTTTGCTGACTTTACATTCGTTGAATCATTTTTCCCTTGAAGCTTCTTATCCACCCCTCTTAGTCCTCCTGAGCAAACCCCTCCCATTTTTCCTTCGCGACTTATATCAAGTACACCCCAATTTATGCCCAAACAAAGAATTTCACTGAAACACAACAACAACAACAATAGTCAGGCGCCGTCTAATAAGTGTATATATATAAGAAAAGAAAAGATGGTAAAACTTTACAATCAACAGTTTCCCACATACACGAAAGCTTCAAAATAAGAGGTGAAACAAAACTGTCTAGAAATCATTAGAGCTATTAGAATAATCAGACTTTTCATTATTTCAACCATCTCACCAACCAAATGCAAACAAGACCCAGCAAGAAATAGGAAAAAAGACAAAAGAAAAGATCAGATAAACACCCATGATTCAGCTAAACCCCATAACAGCAAAGAAAAAAAAACAAGGCATACCTATTAACAAAGGGAGAATTCCGAACTGACGAACAGGATGCAGCAGATTACAGAAGCAAAGAAAAAAAAGAAAACCCAAGAACAATGGTGCAGTGAAGAAGGAATATAGAATGAGTCAGGCAGTGTTTTGGTGTGGAAGGCAAGGCGGAAGGCAGCAAATTGAGAATGGTTTTGTGTTGACCAGGTATCATTGAAGTACGAAGGTTGAATTAAGGCAAAATAAAAGACGCGTAATAAAATTGGAATGGGAGAAGAAAGGTAACGGAAATCTCATGGCTATGAGATTTTGACTGAATTGAATATGGAAGGTACGACTATTCTCATTTTTCTCATTCTGTGACAATAATGGAAATAGAAAAAAAAAAAACATAAACACATACACATTGCATTGCAGCGCAGGGCAGAGGGAGAGAGAAGATATTCAACTCCCGCCCGCCTGCCCGTCCGCCCGCCCTGCGACTCTGTTTCTGCACGCCATCTGTCTGTCTTTTTCTCTTATAGTATCGTCCTATTTACTATTTTACCCCTTACCTTAATGGGTACTACTACTATAAGTTTATTGGAAATACAATTTTATCCTTCAGCTGAATCTGAATGGAATGATTACTTTTAACAACCCTTTTTCAAAATTGGTGAGAAAAGAATATTTTTGTTTTGAATTGTCATTACTGTTTGTTCGTTTTTGGTTTTTCATTTTACTTATATATGAAAACAAAATATATTGTGTAGTTTTAATTTTATTAAGTTATATAATATTTATTATTAGAGGAGATAAATTACTCAATATTAAGGATTATTTTTTATTTAATAAGTTTTATTTTATA